ATGTGCGAATAATTTCCAACATGATTACCACATGTCTTATGGTGAAGGAAAACATCATGAGGAAACCTGCATGTCTGAAAAAACCTAGCAAGTTTTCGAAATTAGCCCTTGTATTGAAAGGAGGCCCATGCCCAGCAGTGGGACGTAAAAAAAGGCTAAGTACAAGAAGCATTTGCACAAATGCTTTTACGAGTACAATAAAAATAATTAATTAAATACATAACTCAAATTGAATTAAATTACTAAAATAATCATCACTTTTCCGCAATAAGATATAATGAACGGTATCGATAAAACAGCGCATAATTGATTCAATCTCGTAAAAATCTTGTTCATCTTAACAAGCTATACAAATATCGTCGTGATTTACGGCGCAGTAACAATTTCATCCAGTACTATCTCCCATCAGATCTTATTTTATGGCGTGTGTGATACTAAACCCGCTAAGGTAATTCATAGTTATCGGCCGTCAGCTGGTACCAATTAAACTACGGTTAATTAAAATTGGACGTTATGGTGTGATATATGTTTTAAATTGACAACATGACATCAATATGTGACAATTCTCTTTTGCGTTCGTTTGTTGACGCCTGATCAAGTTCGTAAATGAGTTTTTGATAAAAATGGGAAATGTGTTAACATATTTTTTAATACTACTGACTCACCCTCGCTTTGCTCTAACCTAATTCTTTTTCTAAAATAAAAGTAGCCTATGTTACTCCCTATAACATAAGCTATCTTCCAGTGAAAGTTCCGTCAAAAGCAGTCTAGCCGTTTTAAAGTTATCCAGAATAAACAGACAGACAGACAAAAATTTTAAAAATATGTATTTTTCTTGTAAGTACCTATCGTATATAATTTCATATGCATTTAGTAAAACGCTGTTATTTTTACATGACAAACAGACACTTCAATTTTATTTATCTGTATAGATGTATAGATGAAGCGCATTCAATCTATGAATCACCTCAAAAAATCTGATTTTTTTTTAAATAAAACTATCTTTTCGGATTTTTTCGCGAATTTATTTTGATTTTTGGTAAATATTCTAACGACTAGTGGCTCACCCTCACTTCGCTCGGGTTCGCCTCTAAACAGCACAAACAGATCTATCCCATGGGAACCGCTCATTTTTCCGGGATAAAAAGTAACCTATTGTTTGACCGGCAATTTAAGGTATAGATATTGTTTTATACTAAGCTGTACTGTGTACGTGTGTGTGTATTACTTACTATAGTTTTTTAACTATTCCACGGAACCCTTTAATTTTCCGGGATGAAAAGTAACTTAGATGTTGACCGGGGATATAAGATACCACCATGCAAAATTTAATTTAATTGTCCAATAGATTTGAAAATTTGCCCGTACAAATAGACAAACAGTACCTTACGAACATACGAAAAAAATAGCTGAATTGGTCGAGCCGTTCTCGAGTTTTGTGCTTAGCAACATTCATTTTTATTTATATAGATGTACATTGTACATACTTAAGACGTATTTAAATATTCTCTTTCTCGAAACCCAATAATACTAGATGACGGCAAGGAGAATATTTATGTGGAGATAATAAGACTTAATTATGTAAGCATGTATAGTAATTAAATAAATATTAATTTTAAGTGAAATAAAACATTTTAAAACTTTAGAAAACGGAAGAAATGTAATAGCATACTGTAAATAATATTAAAAAAAAGTGTTTTTACGAATAACGAACGTGCACATATTTTTTTTAAAATAATCATATTTCTTTTTAGGTAAACATTTTTTTTATTGAAATTAAGATTTATGGTCCGTATTTTGGAGTTATTCGCCGAACAAATCAACACGGATCTATTCAAGCGTGTCGGGACCAAAACACAGGCTCGATAATAATGCTTCGTGTTTTTTACGATATGATGACTTCCAATCCAATATTAAAATGTCAACTGTCAAATAAAACTCGACCTAGTCGCGTAAAATATAAGGTTAGTATTCGAATATCTAAGTAACTTTTCTGTTGATAGTATATCTAGTACACGGATGTCTCTAGCTCCGGAAATCCACTGCGGCTACCGGTCTGCGATTACATACGTACCACCGAATGATACTGTAGCGAATAATGATAATTTTTCTGTCAATTGAATGATTTCAATGCCTTTTTGTCACATTATAAAATTGATTTATTGCTCTTAATGATATTGAAAATAAAGGAAAAATCCTAAAAAGAACGTTTGCTTGTTTAAGTTTAAAATTTACATAAATACATAAATGATCGTTTGTGCAAATCCGCAAATTTGCGTTTTGCAATTTGGACACGTATAAGGGCATTTAAATGAAGAAGATACTTATTATATCATAAATTTTATTATAACTCACCAATAGATATCTTTACAGAAAAAAACTGAACGCCATGAAAATTTGTAACGGAAATTGCGCGCAGAAGAGCTTGAATTAAATAACTATATAACAAAAAAACCATAATAATATATCTTCTTAACCACATCGAATTCAGCTCAAAAGCTTTTGTTTTAATATTTTAAAACAACAACAATTGACTCGTTATAAATTTTGCACTTTTAGTAAGCCCGATACAAAGCGATATGCGTACAACGCGTAAATATCTGTGCAAAAATAAATCAACGAAACAGTCATCGAGTCAAAAACGCTTGCAATTTAAAACACGGAAAAGCATAGACCGTGTATTTTTATACAAATAGCAAATACACCCCGTATTGATTGATATCACTTTTGATTTGATTAAGTGGGTCGCCTCTCCCGAATTTGGTTCTGCCATTGATTACGGACGAGTTTACATGCTCTTTTTATAAAACTTGATACAAAAGCGTAAAAACATGAATTTAGAAAAACTGGCTGGAAATTAAATATGGGTATTATAACAAATTTCTGAGCAAACAAAAATTGTATTTTAATTACTGTATTTATTAGTGCAATATTGTATTTGTAAGTGCAATAAAATTAGTATAGCATATATGTTGTTAGTATTTTAAATCATTGCGTTAAGGCGAATTACTAGTTCTGTCTTTCTATATTAACATACATATATGCACTCCACTAGGTAAATAGGTGCTAACAATTCGAATCTTTCTAGGTAACCTTTGAAACGGCTTAACCAATTGTATTGGGACTTTCACTAAAATATAGAGGAGCTTGTAGAATGATTTTCTAAAATTTCTTTTTTTGAAAACCCTAAAAATTACATATGAATTTACGATTTCATGAAAAATTCTGCAATAATAACTATTTTACTGAAAGCGTGCCTTAGGACGCACCAGAGCGAAGCGAGTGTATGTTGCTAGTAGTAAATATACACATTTATAGATTTAAAAAAAAAACCACTTAGAATTTAGATTTTATAGTTTGAGTTTTTTCTACATAAAATTAATAATCAATGGTAATTAACGCAAAATATATTTAAAATTGTTTAAGTAAGGTTAAAGAAAACATTTTATATGGTAATTTCGGTTGTCGAAATTATATAAGCGCCGTATATAAGAAGTATTAAAGTCCGTGCTATCACATATTATATTTTATTATATTTATTTATAAATACTTTACTGCACACACACAAGAATAATATGAAAAGAAAGAGAAAGGTAACAAAAAGATACGCAAAGGCCTTATTGCTATAAGCAGTCTCTTACAGACAACGAATAGTAATTAATGATAAGATATAAGATTACACTATAACACCTTTAACAATCATTTTATGAAGGTGCAATGATAAGTTGCATTCGACAAAACTCATAGATAAAATGGTCATGCTACGTGAAATGCTACGTGGCTACGTGTGCTACGGGGATAGGACGCAACGAATGTATGACAAATAGGTACATTTGAGATGTACGAGTCGATGTATACCTCGTATTTCTAGTATAAAATGAAGTGAACATTATATAATGATGTATTTTAAATAAAAATAATGTTTACATATATGAAATAATTAATTCCAAATTAATAATAAAAACTAAGTGAATGCATTCATCGGTATTTTCTATTATTTATAATTTTTTTCTCATAATTTTTAGTCAGATGAGTTTAAATTAGTAAACTTACTGTCAATAGCTACATAATTTATTAAATAAAATAAAAACAGACATTTTCATCCAATATATGTACGTGGTCACAAAATCTGCCTTTATTTATAAATAATAATAATAATGCCTCTATTCACCAAGATAACATCATATAAGAAAAGTTTTATATAATTGGTAAGTATTACAGTTAAATAAAATTACATAACATACAAAATTACATACTTATCAATCATAGCTATTATTGACATTATAAAATAAAAATGGTTTTTTTTACAAAATATTGCTTTTATACCTAATACTATTTAATTATTTTTATTGTGTGTTTTTATATCTAATTATTCGTTGATTCATTTTTTTTCCTTTTTCCATTTTTTTTAAATTTATGAATTAAGGTATCTAATTTATATTAATTCAAAACAATGTGATAGCCGCTGAAATACTTTAACTGCTTAAGTTATGTAAATAACCTCCTTAGTCAAATTTATTCCTTTAAACACTTTGCAGTAGAAACCCTCGGCCCATGAAGTAAATGCTAAAAATGTCTTATAAGACGAAACAACTCAGCTTATTGCCTCTACCGGTGAAAAGAGCGCTGGTTCAGCTTTCAGCCCAAAAATTGACATTACGATTCAGCAGGGCAACGCCGTTACCATTCCACGCAGTTATCTGTCTGCTTATTAAGGGTACTATTTTATAATGAATACATACGTAACACTGAAATATATTTGGGTATTTAATTTAACTAGTGTTCGTGTAGTGGTCGATATCATAATCATTATTGAAAATCACCTATCTATACAAAAAAACTGTTTCCATATTTTTTTTATTAATGACAAAGCTACTAAATAAAAAGAAAATTGGTTAACAAATACGAGAAAAAGATACTGAACTGTTTTTTCTTTGCCTAATTATATATAGATTATATTTTTTCTTGAAAATAAACTCGGGAATTTATAACGGATTTACCTGTAAATAGGTTTCCCACCCGTGCTCTTTCCAGCTCTGAACCACAGTACCATGTACACGCGATCTTCGTTGGTGTCCGGTGTGACGTCACACGGCAACGACGCCGTACGCCCAAGCACTGCATCCACCTCCACTGTGGAAACTGTAAAAAAATATATTAAATTATATTAACGAAAAACGTATTATTAAAATATATAATTTCAAAAGTTGAAATATAAATCGTCTGTATAGCATTTTAAAAAAAGGTATGTGTAAATGAAAAGGTTGTTTTATTTATAATAATTAGTACCTATCAGATAATATTTCAGAGATAAAGATTCTTACAAGCGCGTAGAAAGCAGAGTGTTTTATTTCCAATTAGTACCTATGAGATATTTGAAAGATAAAACATATAATCGCGAGTCCGCGGAACGATAGATACACTACTGCATAAGGCTAAAATAAATATATGCCATAGGCAGTATTCTCTTCTATATTTGACTTCGACAGATTATTTTGCAACATCAGTTAAACCTTGTATTAAAATCAGACTCTCAGCATGCAGTTTAAAGAAAACTTGTTTTAAATGGTCCATTATAATTCTACATATATTATTACGGAAAATGACTAATAAACAAAATAACAAAAACTTAAAAATCTAAATTGTATAATGTAAATAAATTACATTAATATGACGGTTATCTTATTAGTATATATATTGTGGACCTTGAAACAACTAGAAACCTTCGTGGAAAGTTACAGTCGCCAGCCTCGTATAAAATTGGGGGCGAAAAGAATGAGTAAGTGAATATCACTGTTCCCCTACATAGCTATGATTCTTTCTTCACCCTAAGGCGATAAACAGACATGAATATAAATAGTAGCAATATTAAAACGTCCCTATTCCCGCACGAAATAATCCTCTTTTCTTTACGGGGAACTGTCACCGTGTTGAGGCCAAGTAATATGCAACATCAGTCATACTTAGTAGAACTTTTCAATTTACTCCCGTGAAGACCGACTAAATAAAGATAGATTATTTGGTCGCAGTTCTGGTTATCAATTTGTTTTTATCCTCAAGAGTTCCCATTTGACGTTTTTAGATGAGGTCTGCAGTCATCACTTGTAATAAATGATATCTAAGACTATAATAAAAGGTAGGGTACTCTATTGCAATATTATTAATACCAAAGTAGGCAGCGGTAGCTCAGTGGTAACGCGCTCGCTTGGGAAGCTGAGTGTACGGGATTCAAATCTTGGTCTCGCACTTCTGATATTATGAACGTTATTTTCAACATGATTACAAATTGTCTTAGGGTGAAGGAAAACATCGTGAGGAAACCTACAGGTCTGAGAGTGAGTGAGTGGTCTGAAGTCCGCCAACCCGTACTTGGTCATCGTGATGGACTATGGCCTGATCCTCCTCGTATTGAAGGGAAACCTACCTACGACCTACCTCTTAAGTTTTCAACTGTGTTTTAAACTAATTTCATCGACATTAAGCTTGAGATGGATACACTTCTTATTAGATCGTTGAATAATTTCTATAAAATGATTTCTTTACTTTGATTTTTATATATTGTACATGTTATATTTTTTATGAAATATTTCATCTCATTTATCTGATTACTAGCGTTTACCTGCGGTTCCGCGCGCAAAGTACATTAATCACCAACATATCATATACTAAAACCTTCTCCGAAACAGGCTGCACTCACACATGGTATGAGTATTTTTCCGATCGGTTCAGTCGTTATCGCAGTAAAACCGAACAAAAAAAATTGGCTCTCCATTTATTAGTATAGATTTTTATTTATTTTAACCTACAAAGTTTACGTTATATATACGTACCTCTATCCCAAAGGGATCGATAGCTCTGATGGTCAGCTTGAAGCGCAACTATTAACGTATCGAATATGCATATCTATCCGCCTCCCTTTTAGAGAAGTACTTTGGATAGTATTTTGTAACTACGATATTCTGTTTTACTGAGGAAATATTTAACACAACTTATTTATTTAACAGATTATCTTATATTTAATTCTACGTCAGGTTTTTTATATCCAAACTCGTGGTGTGTGAAGAAAATTAGTGCTCATTAGGGTTCTATTGTCAGGGTCTTCTTTGCTAGGTAAATTGCGTTTAAATCCTCAACGACCGCGGACACGCCAGCATTACAGTTAACGATTTCTTAGAGATTTGGTTAATTTCTTAGAAATTTACCTGGAGGTGATCAGGAGTATAACATGTATTTTGTATTTAATTATTTAAATCATGTTTTTGATGCTACTTACTTCAAAATATTTAATTTTCGAGAAAAATGGTGTCGTTAATAGAAAATTATTTAATAGACAATATATAACGAATTTCAACGTATGCCTAGAGCTTTTTTATGTAGACAAATACCTCATATTCAGTGTTTATTAACAAAATATAACAACTGAAACGAGCGTAATTTCGGGCAAAAGCTTGTTTTCAAAAAAAAGCTGTCCAAATTTTCCAAGTTAGATGTCACGCATAATGTATCGGAAATATAAATTATATTAGATTGGGGGTTAGGCGGTGTAATGGTGGCATAATGCCTCAAAGAAAGTGTCGTGATGGAAAGCACTAAAGAATTTTGCCCTTTATAATTGCAGTAATTGTAACTGACGAGAGGTAGTATTTTGTGACAGGCATTTTTTGCGATACTCGATATTAGCAGAAGTAAATATAGCTTGTGAGATACAAATATTTTATATAAAATCACTTTAATTAATGGCTATGAAATGAGTTTTGTCGCTTTGTATCGCTTAGTATAAAAAATGTCTGTATAGTTTTTTTATAACGTTTAGTGAAAGTTAGCATATGTATGTATTCTTCTACCTTTATATATATATATATATATATATATATATATATATATATATATATATATGTGTGTGTGTATTATATTAGAATACTAGCGGCTCACCCTCGCTTCGCTCGGGTTCGCCTCAAGAAAAACACTAACAAAAATCTATTAGTTCCCACGGGAACCGTTCATTTTTCCCGGATGAAAAGTAACCGGTTGTTTGACCGGCAATATTAGGTATCAGAATGTTAAATTTTACTAAATTAGGTGCATAAGTTGTATAAGTTATAATAGTTTTTTAACTATCCCACGGGAACCATTATATTTTCCGGGATAAAAAATATATAAGACGTTGTCCGAGGATATAAGGTACCACCATGCAAAATTTCATTTAAATCGGTCCAATAGATTCGGAGATTAGCCCGTACAAACAGACAAACAGACAAACAATATCACACGGGAACGCAGTCGAACGGGATAAAAAGTATCCTATGTCCGTCTCTGGGTTCTAAGCTACCTCCCCACCAATTTTCAGCCAAATCGGTTCAGCCATTCTGGAGTTATAAATAGTGTAACTAACACGACTTTCTTTTATATATATATATATATGTCGGAGACGGTCATCAATACGGTCGCTAAACGAAGCGCGGCACGACGCCTGAGTGATGGCAGCACCTTCGGTGTTATCGCCAACACTCGGCGAGCTTCGTGCTACGACGGAGCCTAGCTAAAGGAGGCTAAGATATATATATATATATATATATATATATATATATATATAAAGATTTAAAAAAAATCTATAGGCAACTTTGGAGGGGGAGTAAATTCATGTAAGTCATCATCGACATGGTCACGTGACGTGTTAACGGTAACACTAGAGTCCCGATAGATGTCAAAACCATATAAATGTAAACAGGTTTAATTTACAAATTTTAATTTAAGATTAAACAATTAATTTGAATATCCAAAAATAATAACTGCTTGTTTATAGTCTTAAGTTTTCACTTCTGTCAGCAGTCCTTATGAATGCTTTTATTAACCGACTTCCAAAAAGGAGGAGGTTCTCAATTCGTCGGAATCTTTTTATGTATATTCAAGGATTACCTAAAGACGCCTAAAGCTATTTGGAATATTTTTTTGTTTCAAAGGGTATACTTCCCAGGTAGTCCCATATAAATTTAATAGAAATCAGTCGAGCGGTTTTTAAATAAATTGTTATACATATTTTTTTAAATAAATTGCTTAATCGAAAATGATATTAAAAGACTTTCTTCTACCAAATTACCTGCTTATTACGTCTCCACAAAAAATGAAAAAATAAAAACTTAAAAAAAGATCCGACTTCCAGGCACTAAAATGTAAAAATAACTAAACGGGGATTTTAATTTAGAATAGATACATAATCAGATATTTTCGAAGTCGGTGCTAGCCGACAATATCATATATAATTTATCTTATAGGTAAATACGTATTTTACGTATCGAAATATAATATATTTGCTTTGCATCGGCTCGGCGGATTACAAGTAAAATTAAATTAATTAAAAATACATATACAATTTTCCAATTTATTATCACAGCAGTCTTATAATAAATTAGAAAAACTATAACATTTACAGTAATGTTCAATATCGTACCAATTGTGCAATAAGAAAGAGATTTAAACTGTAGCATATGACATTAAACTCAGCAAAGAGAGGGTAAGATAGCTCTTTCATCTCTCGTTCTCTTAATATATCATATTTTTTCCGACTCTAAAGATATATGAGCGGTTGCGAGCGTGACAGGCTTCGGGGCGCAATATTAATAAAATTATTGTGGGGACACGTAGCAAACGTCGAGCCTGACCTACTCGTCTAACACGTGCTCAATTCTACAGTTAGTTGGGAACAGCTGCCTACATCATTGTTCAACCGCCTCAAGCATGACGTAAGCATACAATCTCTAGACAGTCTTCACTTCCCAAATAAATTTTTGGAATCCCTAATATAATGAAGCAAAAATAATTAATCATAGTTGAAATTTCTCATATTCTGTAAAAGTAAAAACAATACTTATAATTAACGTGTAATCATCAGAAAATGTAAGGCACGAGAATTCTGTTATTGGTTAGCAGATATTTTATATGAAACCATCACTCTTATTGTATTTTTTGCCATTTTGTTTCATATCGTTCACATATCTACATATCAGAAAAGGTTTTATCGGCGTTTTCCAATAACATTAAAATTTGTACTCATTTATCACGTTCACAGCGACTAGGTGGTGAGTGTTTTTTTGGCCCTCTGCTCTTTGATTAGATTCGCTACTGAACAAACCCATCCATCGCCCTACCACAAAAGGTCGGTGAAACCACGTCGGCCGACTCCGTTTTCCATTCGTTCCGCTGTCCAGAAATTTTCGCAATAAAATTAATCGTTCCAATAAAATAGGAGCCGAATAGAGCCGCCCATGCATGAACACTTTTTAATTGGGTCCATTTTTTTGCTCCTTTCGCAATCACTCAAACGAGAAATCAAACTTGAGCAAGTTCTTATGGGGACAAATCCAAATTACTTGGAGTGGGCATAGATCTTCTTCAGGAAGGAGCTCCTCTAAGCTTTCTTTTGAAACCTATAATTACTTCAAAGCGGACTGGTTGTTAAATGTTTTTATATTATTCTGAAAGCATTTGGATTAACATATTTATATCCAGTTGTAAATTCGTGTCAGTTTTGAATACATTGAGTGGGGAATGGTGAAAAGTTGTATTCACGAGCGAGTACATTTATTACCTACCATCGATACTCTAAATCAAAGTGAGCAATTTGTTGCGTGTAAACGCAACTCCCGATGGATTGCATAATAAAAATTGGACAAAAACATGGTTAACGCGCATCGAACAATCAAAAATATATTTTCTGTGTTAATTTCTGACAAGCAGGCACGTTTAATGGGTTATACATGAGTCTCACTTGAGTTCCATTTGTTTTAATTTAATCGCTTTTACGATTTATACCGATTGTACTATACTCGTTATAATTTGATTGTGTTGACTTTTTGTTATTTAAATGAAAAAGGTAAAAGTTGTGACATAGTGGGATATTTGTCTGATAGGCACTTAGAGCTATTACAAAAGATGCGGATGCAATTACCGACAGGATCAAATATATAAAAATAAACTTTTGTCTACTATTATAATAGAAAGTTCGTATATGACCTGGATTAAGTCGTAAATAGGCCACCTAGGGAAGCACCCGAGCGAAGTAAGGGTGAGTCCTTAGTTTTAATATCTTTATAAATTAACAAAAGGGGACCGTAGTCTTATTTAAATAATAGTCCCGAAGACTATCCCCTCGATATATTATGTTTTGTATCTAAGCTTTTGTCTGTGACATCGAACAGCTGACTATAATGAATTTAATACGCCTTTATTAACTTGATTTTTAAAGAACTATGTAATGGAAGCTTTAGTCCATGTAATCTACTTCTAATTGTCTTATCGATTTTAAAATTTGTAAATTAACAATGAGTCCAGATAAAACGCAAGTTATAATTATAGGTAGTTCAAGATTAAAATCAAAAATACAGATAGATACCGGAAATAACACTTATTTTATTTTGATGGAATACTAATGCTTTACGGTGGCAAAGTAAAAAATCTAGCCATTATATTTGATGAGACATAATTGTGGAAGTCACAGATGGGTGAAGTGGTCAGCAAAATATTTTCTGCCGTTGCAACATTACGTCGTACCCATTCCCACTATAATTGCATTGTCTTACACCAATTCTTGATTATGGTGATACTTGTTACCTTGATTTGAGAGAGCAGTACCTAATTAAATAACCTTAAGCGTATTCAAATATTTTGCATTTGGTTTATATTGGTTTTGACAACACGTTTGGCTCAGTTTGTAGTGACCCTACTTGCTGTGCCAGCGGTCGCGGGTTTGAGTCCCGCTGGGGGCATTCATTTGATAAGCACGAATGTTTGTACTCTAGTCATGGGTGTTTATATTTATAATATGTATGTATTTAAAGTTATATGTGTGTAGTGTATCAACTATCTGGTATCCATAACACAAGTCTCGTAGCTTACCATGGAACTAGATTGTGCTGTGTGTTAATGTCCCAAAATTTTTATTTATTCAGACTTCGTAAATAGGACTACGTTTCTGAGTCTCCAAAAAAATCTAGTTTCTCTCAATCGCAGGAATACTCTCGTTTTTTGTCTTGTGTACAATATTTTATATAATGCTAGTATCTTAAAGATAGGTTTCAATTTAAATGATTCTCACCATTCCTTCTTCGTACTAACCTAATTTTAACTTTAAACAATCCTTTACACACTTCTACCTTTTGTACTTTCTTCTTTACTGTCCAATCTACGCGTTTGTGGAACTTTCTACCAAATAAAATTCAACATAGCCACTATCAACATTAAAAAAAGTATCAAAGTATACTATCTCAACTTATAGGTATATAATATTTTATATGTATAATGTGTATGTGTGTGTATATACACGTATATCTAAAAACACTAACGAATGGGTATGTAATTAGGAGAACTGAAACTACCTATTAGGATTTAAAATTAAAATAAAAGTTAGTTTTAAAACAAAAGTTAATTCATATCAATTTAAATTAATATTTGTACTCTAAAAATATATAAATTCAATTTACATTCACGTCATGAGTCAATAAAGTGTTAAGAAGAAAACCTAATTATTTATTTATTCTAAGGAGTGGGTACAGCATTCATCTGTTTTTAACACGCTTTTATTAGCTTCGCCTGCATATTTTATCTATGTAAGTAACGGAATCTTTGAACACGATTTTCCCCCACTTCAAAAAATCAGATTGAACTAAAACTTTGCATATTTTACAAGAGCCAATGACAATATAATAATTTATTTAAAAAAATCATTAAATATTAAACAAATACGCGTTTAGAGCAGAACAAAAAATAGAAAATAAATTATAGTTTAATAAAAAAGAAACTAAAAAACACGTCTTAATGATGAACCAAACTAAAAAGTAAAAAAATATTTTTTAGTATAAAAATAAAGTGATTAACAAGAAAACTAATGTGTATTAAAGTGTTGGATGTTCGATATCATCAGTTGTTATAAATATTCCATTGGTACGTTTTCTAAAAATAGAGTTAGTATATAAATATTGTACAAAGCACCCCACGCTTTTTCCACAATAATTATCATTAACGCGTGATTTCTAGTTTTTTAAGCTATCGTTTATTTGTGTCTACGCTACGCTGTATTATTATAAATTTTCAGTCGATCTGTATGATATATTTTTTAAATTAATAGGTTCAGATAAACAAACAAAAATCCATCAGTTACGGTGTAGTCCAATCGGAATCCGGTTTGGGAACAAAATATTAAAAACCAGAAGTTTTATGATTTCAAAATGTTAGCAGGTATATAAGAAATAGAAATTTGCAAAATGTCCCCGATGCCCAGCTACCATACCATACAGAAAAATGTTTTTTCCAAAAGTTGTTAGTCTAATAAAAATCTACAACTTTTATAAATAACACTATTTCCAATAACCTCAAAGTTTTCAAATTCTTTCAATATATTTGCAAAAAATTCGGTTTGTAATATTTTCTCGGTTTTTTAATTTAAATTTCTAGAATAATCTTTTGTTTTCATGAAACTAACTGAATATAAGCTTTGAAATACATATTGTCATATATTAAATAAAAAAATTGAAATTAAAATGTTTAGTTGTTTCCGATAATAGTATGTTTTATGGCCTGGAGAGGCTGAAAATCACCCCCAACTTCAAGTGAACGTTTATATTTAAAAAAAATCGTATAATTTTCAGATAGGGCTCATACTTTATGTCTTGAACTCTCCTTTTAAAAAAAAATAAAAACGTTGTATGGTCCTCCTGTAAAAACACCCTTAAAATTTTAAAAAAATGGAGCAATCGACAATTTTTACTTTGTAAACTACATTTTTTTTAATTATCATTGAAGAAGTGTAATTTATTGACCAAATTTTTAAAAACTGATTACACCAATGTATTTTTTGGGAATAAACAAAAAAAATGGTACTCTTAAGTTTTTAATTTTACATTTATAATATTAGTATAGATTCAATTGATTTTTTACTTACCGAGGTCTTCTGCGTCTTCACTCCACTCGCCCTCCTGTGCCCAGCAAGCCGCCAGCATCACGAGCAACCGGATCCACTTGACGGAACTCATGACTTACATTATGAACTTCACTCGCGTTTTACTCCACATCACTTATGTTTTTGTTTCAGTGAAATCTCTGTTTTCGCTAACATTTCTGATATTTACACCTTAGGATATAGCTAATATTAATTAAATTATTCCTTATTTAGAGTTTTTCTTTAGAGGATTTAATTAAATTATATATAGTAAGCATGGGACTTTTAGTATTTACAGTAACTGTATGAAATGTATGTAATGAATTATCCAAACATAGTTTGAAGTTGTGTTTTACCACTTTTGCAAAAGAAAGAAGCTAATTTAGACTACATAAAAGCTTTTCAATATTTCCAGGAATACTTCAAAGTAAGCAATTCAACATTTTCTTTAGAGAAAACCTTCGGCGTCCGCCAATTTTATTAAAACGTCTGGCAACAGGAGGCTAAATTTGTCCAATTGAACTGTATTTTATGTGTATTAGTTCTCGGGAGGGAATGCCTGACATAATGTTGTCGATTTCTTGCTGCAGGTTTTTATGATAAAATTGACCATTATTGTATATTTCTTATATTTTCATAAACCTTTTATGAGTTAATATTGTACTCTTAAAGTACTAAAAAAAAGTGTTATTTTAATTTTGGTTCAGTTTATTTACAGTTAACAGAGTTAAAACCTTTGTACCAATTTGCTACTATTTAGGTCAACATTTTGTAACTAAAGCAAAAATTGTTTTCGAACTTAACTAAGCCCTACTTAATATTAGTTTTGTAATATAAGCTAAAGTAAAACGATAAATGAAGATCCTCAAAACTTAAACATATAAAAACTGAAAGGAAGTAAAGGTATTCCGGGAACGTATCAGTTAGCTCAGACACAACTTTTATGTATGGATTATCCAGATTTTTATTATCATACTAAGTACCTACTGCTTATAGTTCCACTCGCTTGCTTTATTTAGGTTGATTCTCACAAACTTTTATCCCCATTTTCACCCCTTTATATTTCTGGAATAAAAAATATCCTATGTCCTCGCCAGCGTCTTAAACTATCTTCTTACCAAATTTCATTTTAATCGGTCTAGTAGTTTTTGAGTTTACTCGTTACAAACATACAAAAATCAAATGTTTCCTCTTTATAATAGTAGTGTAGATAAGGAAAGGATTATGGTGTAGGTATGTATCTGTAAGTCTGAGAGAACTTAACTATATTTCGAAAGACGTGTAACTTTCGCTAATATGTATTTGGTCAGCGAATCCTTGGAGTAAAGATACTGGCCGAATCCCCCTCACATTAAAAATGGTTAATTTTTTTTATTAGACATGATAACAATTTTGCTTTGGAGCATATAGCATAAAAGTCTCAAACTGTATCTTTTTTAAATAATTACATTGAATTGTAGCTATGTTTTTTCACATTATGAAAGAACTCAATCAAATATTTCTATGTTCTTTAGTGACGTGCGAAAAAACGGCAGTTGTACCCATTAAGAAAACTGTTCAAAGTGCTTATTTACACCACGAATTTTGATAAATGATCAATTCCAATAAATATTATATTTGAACCCTTTCAATTTAATCAACCCGTTAATTTTAATTCGATTAGCCTTCCGTTGTTACTAATTAACGTACTATTGAATATAGCCTAACCTTAATATATTTAGTACGAGAACCATTCCCTTACAATATTATTAATTCACATACACTTTATTTAGTATAGAATAGACACAACATTTGACTTGTTTTCAGTGACCCACTTGATATTTATTTACAACGCATGTATTTGTGTGACGGTTTAGTAAATCACATTTGGGAGGCTCTAAATAAATTGTTTAGCTACAAATGTCAACTAGTAAAATCGAACGTGTTCAATGGGTCAACCTTTCAGTTCCATGATAATACATAAAATAAATATTTCTTAACTTTTAAATACACGAGTAAATAATATCTTTTAAGTCATACACCCATTTCCCGTGAATTTGCAGAAAGGTTAGCTTAGTAAAGAAAAATTATTTTTCGATTATGTTTTATAACATTCAGTCGAACGGAAAGGATAAGGCTGTTTCAAATGGACCCTTGCTACGTTTGTGCGGTAAATTTAAGTTGGAACGTGACTGCATTACTTGAACACTTATTAGATTAAGTGATTTATGAGAGGCTAAAAATGACCCTATTTTTTATGATACTGTATTGATTGATAATATTAAACAAGTAACTTATACAAATAAAGATTACTTATTGATTTTTATAAATATTTACTATAAATTACACTGTTTTATTCATACTAAGTAAAATAGTTTTATTCGATAAAAATTATGCAATATCACCTCCAGGTAAATTTTTAAGAAATTACATAATTAAATTTCTAAGAAATCTATTGTTAACAGTAATGCCGGCGTGTCCGCGGTCGTGGAGGGAATATTATGCTATTGTTTGTTAACAGCTGCAATCTTAACTAGCTTCCTCCTAGACGAAGTGAGAAGTTGACGAAGAAACATAGTATAATGCACTTTACGCTTCCTAGACGGCATAGTATTTTCCTTCATCAAATTATTTATATCAAAAAGATAGAAAACCCGATTGCTTGAAAAGTGAACTAAAAAGTTCACTTTTCAAGCAATCGGGTTTTTTATTGCCATTTATATTATTACTTTATTTCAAAGTCAAAACTGTACCTATAGACTGCCTATGCCGATAACATTTCCGACTTCAATTAAAGTTATTGTGATTTCTAACCTTGAACACATGTATGCATATTGGAATAAAAATAGCCTGTGGCACTAAACGGTAATGTAGTTTCAGCTAAAAAGATTCAGAATTGGATCAGTAGTATCAGAGATTCTAAGCTTACAAACTCTATCTCTTCATAATATTCGTGTATTCATTATTTAAAAGAGTTTAAAGCAATTTATAAATATGAATAAACAAAAATATATGCAATAAAAGTATATTTGACTGAAGGCAGTATAAAGAAGATGACACGCCATCTGAATAATACGATTTCTTTTACGATTTATTCATATGTTTGTTTACATTCGTGCAAAAATCAAACGGGATATTTGTTTTCAATAAATCTGGCGTGTATTGTAAGGCAATTTACTTGATCTTATTTTTTATTGAATATAAAATGGCTGAATGCGTACCTTTCTTATCCGATCCAGTTATTTATTGCACAAGTTTGTTTTTGACCGCCTCACGTACTTTATAGGATGGACCGTTCCTATACGGAATTGGCAATTTCTATTTGATACATAAGCAACGTTTGAGATTTCTACCTATTCTTAGTTAGGTTGTTTATAACTATAGGCACAGCTTTACTAGGCTCATATTTGTTTGTAACTATAAACAAACCAGAGATGAGGCATGAGAAATCAATCCGCTTCACTTGGTTTCCTAAGCGAGCACTTTACCATTATTTAGCAACTAATAATAATGTAAAATTGATATTTTAAGATCAAAAAGAAGGCAGTAGCCCAGTGGTAACGCGCTCGCTTGGGAAACTGAGTGAAGCGTGTTCAAATCCCGAGTCTCGCACCTCTGATATTTTCATTTGCGATCCAGATCCGTTCAGCCGTTCTGGCGTGAAAGAGTAACAAACATCCATACATACTCACAAACTTTCACATTTACAATATTATATAATATATAATTAATACGGATTAGATTTATACTAGCGACCCGCCAACGATTTTGAATCTTCTCTGTTCCTTAGTCATGATTTCTTTTCTTTTTTTATTATTTCCGAAACTAAATATAATATACATAAATTACATATGGTACAGTAGAGTACAGTACGGTTCGTCCCTAGGTACGTTTTAACGATTACTATTGGAATAGATAGACTATATGTATATTATATACTGCTATGATCCCTTGGCATGATGATACATATATAGCCAATAGTCTTCATTATAAAATGGCTATCTAATGCAAAAATAATTTAAATCGGATTAATAGTTCCTGAGATTAGCGCGTTCAAACAAACAATTTTTGCCTCTTTATAATATTAAGTATAGATAAAATATGTAAATATACTTATATGACTTATTCCATGCTTTAATTTAACCAAAATCATTTGGACGATAACCGGCATTATTTACAACTGGCTGAACTGTTCCGTAAACTTTACTCAGGGTAAGTGCTAACTTAGAACCAACCAAGTATTATTGGCTTAGCCTAATGTATAATAACGGCTTACCCCTCGGGAATATCACGATTAGTTATCATAACATATTATAACAATAGGTTTAAAACTATCAAATATTATTTATATTAATTTTGGAAATATTTTGAAACATTTAAGTGACTTATGCCGACTCTCAGGCTAGGTAGGGATGGATGTAATGCTGTAATTTTGACAGCGTTTTCCCAGAACATAGGCTAAGAAAGTATGTTTTTAAATTGAACCCTTAAAAGTTTGTAAATGGTATAAAGTATGGCAAAAATATTTTACAGTAGGGGGATTTTTTTATAATAAACTGCTACACGTACATATTTTGTTAAACAACTTAAGAGATAATAGTACTATTTATAAAATAAAAGTTAAAATAAACATTTTCTCGTACTGTTTACAGGGCAGATATAAGAGTATCTCCATTAATTCGTTTTAATTAACATAAAGAGAAAAACTTTAGGTATTTAGTATCTAGTTATGTTTTCCTTTAACTTCCTCGGTGGTTTAGTGGCTAGCAAGTACGCCTGCACATCGAGAGGTACTGGGTTCGAGTTCTGGGTCGGGAAAAGTTTAGTTATTGAGTCTTTCTGTTTAGTAAGTCTCAATAACAGCCCGGAGTTGGGAAGTTGGCGGTGTTTCACCCTCGTGCCCCGGAGAGCACGTAAAGCCGTCGGCCCTGCGCCTTAACTATCACCGGTCGTGTCGAGTAGTCGTCCCACCGGAGTATGAGAGTGACAGGAATAGAGAGTGCACTTGTATCTGCGCGTACACTTGTGCACTATATGTAGTATCTCCAGCGCAGATGGCTAATCTCAATAAGACTGGCCGCCGTGGCCGAAGTTGGCCGGAGGTCATTAGTATTA